ATCAAACAAATATATGACGATCAGCCAATCAAAATCACTAAAAAAATGTATAATAATTAGCCAATCAAATGGATTTTAACTATGCTATCTGCGAATCGATTTATACGCGACTTTTTTCGTATTTTTCGCATATTCTTTTATGTAGATTAATCGAGTCTAAAACACAAGTTAAGTAATTTTTTTTACGTTTTATTATGATATTACTTTTTGCATACAGTATCCTACAGAACATATGGCCATAATCGTGTGGATCACCCACTAGTACAGTCCCATATGGTCGATGCTTGGAGGAGATTGTCATTTACGCCCACTAGGAGGATTTCCTACCTAGTGCCCTAGTGTGCTGATCTCTTTCCAGAGGCCTATTTACCAATGCAACCAATATATATACTAGCCTTAATTAGATGTTAAATATTCGTTACTAAAATATTTGATTACTTTCTTTCAGGAATGGAAATATTAAAAGCAATCTCTCTTTTTTTGAACGAACTCACTGGAGTCTCTTCAAAGGTCTAGAATATTTGGAAAACAAATCCTTAAACCTGGGAACGTCTGACAAGGAACTAATCCAAGATGAATTCAAGAGTCAGGTCCATTCATTAATGAATCATCAATCAATATCGAAAAGCGCGCAAAAAAAGGCTACAAGACTTTTTAACGAAGTGGATCAGTTGTTCGAATCTGAGGAAGTTGTAACATTTTTTAAAAGAATGGATACAAAGGTAAATTACTTACGTTAATGATTAACCCTTTCGTTCAGTGTATCAATGTAACGTAAGACTGTTGATTTTACAGGCGATTGAAGAAAGTAAAAAGCAGTTATTAGCCGTAAAAAAGTCGCTATTCGATACGGAGGTTCAGATCACTGTTGAAGACTACAAAATACAAACTGTATCGTCTTCGGTTAGTTCGGTAATTAACTGAATTTATTGATATATTCTGATTGTTAACACAATTACAGAATCTAACCACTTTAGGAGCAGAAAACTCAGGCGAGGCTTCCAAACGGAAACGTGAAGAAGATGATCATATGACAGTGTTGTCATGGGACATTTTTGGGACATGGCCTGGGACATTGGGACTTAATGTGGGACATTTTGGGACATAGTG